ACATATTCTTGTAAAAGTAGTTGATTTTGATTTTTACTATTTTTATGGCTGAACAAATAATAATTTTGGGAATCAATTTATATAAGAATGACAATGGGACAAATAATATATTTCTATTTACGATCTTAGTAAAACAATAAAGTACTTATTTTATTTGAGAAAATCAAAGGAAAAATAATTTCTAAAATATTTTTGTGTGAGTTTTGTTATTTCTTGACGTTTTCTATATTTCCTAATTAAGCTTATAAAAGAAGTGTAATTGTAAGCTCAGGTATACTGTTTGATCTTTATGTATGATTGTTTTATGCATCACTTTATCAAGCATTATAATATCCCAAAAAATTTAGTTTTAAAAACTTCTGAAATTTTTTTTTTTATGAATTTGTTTTAATTTATTACATTCAGGGAATATCGCACTTTAAGTGCGATAACTTGAAAAAGAAACTTTGAAATATACGAATTCAAAGTTATAATCACTTTTAAGAGTTACTTTGTGTTTTTAGTATTTAAATTTTATTTATAGTTAGCTTGCATATTTAGTTAGAGAATTATAAGTTGTATTGAATTATTCCAAAATATCATAAATTTTGATATACTGTCCTCTCGCACTCATAATGCGATATTATCAAGTTATTTTATTATCAATTTTTTTAATTTTGATATTCTAATTTGATACATTTCAATTCTTAGTACTTTTATTTCACAGACAAAATTTTATTTCGGATATTTTTTTATTAAAATGGTATAAATGACTTATTGAATATATTTTACATATTAACCAAGAAAAAGATGACAAAAAATTTTTTTTAAAAATAAGTTTCGAGTAAAATATACTTGATTCCTTTTATCTAACTACTTTTTTTAACAAGATAACAATATGATTATTTTAATTGTAAAAATATATTTCGTACTGCATAATAGTTATATATTATTTGTGATATAGGTTTTACCTAACATCCAAATCTAAAATTGGTCAATACATTATTATATTTATTATTATTTGACTTCACTTTAACAAAGACTATTTGGTTTGTCGAGACTACACGTGCGAAATATTTTCTGTAATGTCATTTCCTAGAAATTTAATTTTAGCCTAAATATTTGTGCCTTTTAATTTGATTGTAGTGTTATGATTTTTTAATTCCTATGGAACACCTGTGAACCCTAAGTGACATTTTATAACCTATTTTTAATTGTTAAATTCTATAAAGTTAATATATTGTTTTTCTTCATCTTCCTCGCCTTAATCCCAACTACTTGGGGTCGGCCCAGTAAATATATTATTAAAAAATATATATTTCATAATTTTACATATTTCATCATTATTTACAGTATATAAAAAATAATTTGTATTATAAAGAAAACCAGTATGATTAAAAATTATTACCAAACTAATGGTGGATGTTGACAACTCATAAATTTATACTATTGACAATGATTTTAAGATAATAAGCACTTGTGATTTCATATTACTCGATTAAACGGGTTTTTTTCTTTATTCATTGAAAATTGTCGAATCCTTAAATAATAATAAAGTTAGTTTTAACAAAATTATGATAGTTGACCTTTGTGTTATTTAAATGCGTAAAAATAAATCAAAGCTTATTAATAACTATGTCATGGCAAATTAAATTTAAAAATTAAAAAAAACATTCGGACGTGATAGCTGTACACGTAAAACTTGTTTAAGTATGTTTTAATGTATCCAAATGCTGTGTTTAGGTAAACACGAAATTAGAATATAAACGACAAGTTAAGAAATTGAAATGAAATATGTACAGAATTATTGGTTTTTGTTGACCACTAGATTTATTTTAAAATAATAATTTTGAGCATTTTTTTTGTATTTTTCAAATAGTTTTTATTTCTCGATGTTTAAGTAGTTAAATATTTTTTGTGTCCATTCCTTGTCCTTTATATGGTATCAACTTTATTTTTTTAAATGAAGGCACACATATTTAATATAATACACGAAAACAACATTTAATGTAAAAATTAACGGCAAGTAATGATGAGTTATTAATAAGAACTTGATTGATTGTTTTCTTTTCATATCATTTTGTCAAAAAAGGAGTAACTTCGATTATGGACAAAATAATTGTATGAGATGTATAGTAGTTTTCTATGGATTTTAGGAGTTCCATAAATCCATAATGACACTTATTAAAGTCTAAAATGAATTTTTGGAGTAGTTATTTATATAATAAGGTAAATCTTTTAAAATTTTACAAAAATTTCAATTATTGGAGATGCACTTTTATGGGTTTGGACAATAATATTTTACTCGGCAAAAAACACTTGAAAACTAAAACAAGTATCTATGCCTAATAGAACACACTATAAATACTAATACTATTCTGAATGTATAATGCTCAAAGTTGATTCTTTTTGTTACTTGCGAAAAACTTTTATCACGTTTTATAAAAGTTATAACTTTTGACAAATCCACTTCAATACATCCCAAAATGTCGTCTCTTAGTTTTCTTAGTCTATAATGTAACATTTTATCAAAGCACATTCTCGGGGGTATTGTACTACATTTCTATCAGACATATTAATCTGCTTTCAAAATAACTTTCTTATGGGAAATATTAATGGAAAATTCTTTTTATCCCCTATACGTGCAGAAATATAATTGGATGTTATGCTCCAGGCGTTTGCCAGTTGCTATATTTGATAATCGATTATTTTGATTGACTTCGCAACTGGAAGTTAGTTGCCACCTAAGAAAACGGGATTGTATTTACTGGGCATAACCTATTACTGTATATACATAATGTCTATCTTTACATTAAGCTGTGTGATTTATGAAACTTACGTCATTAAGCCATAAACAAGTGTCTATTGGTTGGTGAGAAAGTAAATGATAAGAAAACGATAGTTTCACTTTCGATATTTAGACGCTTAAGATATATTGATTTTACAGTTTCATTAAATATATTTTTTTACAATTTTAAAATATAAGTTTAGATAATTAACATAACACATAATTGCTCAATATAATAATACAGTAACATTTCCGTCATTGACATATGAAAGTTTAACAAAATTTAATTTCAATTAACTTATTCGTAATTATTATTAATTTATTTATATTCTGAATTTTATTGTTGTAAAACCACTCTAATTAATGAAATTTTTTTAAAAGGTTCAATTCGTACGAAATGCGTTATATACCACTTTAAAACACTTTTCTAAGTTATTAGTTATGGTATAAGTCTCGAATTTTAAAACACGTTTAATACATTCAGTAGTTACGTAAAAATAAAATATAGTCATTTTGATTATTTTTTAAGAATTTCTATCATTTACTAATAGTCACTGGAGTTTAAAAATCTAATAGTTAATACCTACGGTTTAATATCAGATTTTATTTTGCATATTTCCTTCGATGTTTTAATCATATGCAATCATTATCATGATTATAATTTGACACATTTTTTAAATGATAGGGTCTTTTTGTTATTGTATTTTATTCGTATAAAATGAATATAACTGTATGATGACATTATAATTATGTGGTCCAAACGAAGGTCAAAGTATCATCACTGTTTTGTTGTTAAAATAAACCGGTTTTATACACATATTTTCCCTTTTAAATAGTAGTACATTTACAATCATCAAGTTCGTGTTAAATCGTTAAATTGCATAACAATTTTTTCTAATAACCGACTTTGTTTTTCCCAATTTAATTCCTTCGGTAACTTTAGTACCAGCGCGCTATTAAGGTTCTCCTAGTGATCATCTTACCTGTTAAGATGTTGATATATCCGGTAAATCGCGTTTTCAAGCTTCTTAAATGCGCCGTGACGATTTGTCGTGTACCTTTCACACGACCGATCTACAAACAACCTTTAACCCATGAACAACGACTATAACGTGAGTGGGTGAGTGGTAATTTTATTTTTATTTAAATGTAACTTTTATGTTAACCCTTAATGCGTAGTATGCCTTTGATCAATGCCGTCAACACTTTCTCTACCGGAAACAATAGCGCTAAAAACGTCCACACGCGGTTTTTATGTAGACAAGAGGGCATGACGTCTGCACATGCGGTTGCTGTTATTAAATCGTGATAAACGCAGCATAGATTTAACTGCCATTTCAATTGGTGATCAAGTCCACATGATATTGCATTAATTTTAAAATGATTTTTGGTGTATTTTAAAAATGCACGCTTTATAGGAAAAAATAATCAAAATTGTTATTTGTTGTAAATTTGAGTGACTCAATGAATATGTTCATAACTTGTACAGAAATATTTAACATTGAGGATTAGAATGTGCTTAAATAATAATCTTTTTCATAATTTAAAACAAGATCTTATTATTTTCTCTTAGTGCTGAGGTATAATTCAGGAGGAGCTATATCCTCCTGGCACTTTAATAGTCCCTCTAGAAAACTTAGCGTGGTGATGATAATACAGCTATTTTCGAAAATGATAATAAAAATGCTCGAAACTTCCAAAACGCTGATTCAAAAATTGTTATTGACAAGTCTTTATTTTTTAAATATATATCTAACAAATAAATTAATAAATTATGTATGTTTATATTTTAAAAAATCAAGTAGCTATCCCTTTAAGATATGAATGATTAACATATAAAATACTTCATGATTGATTAATTGAATACATGTCACATGTAAACAAAATCATAAATATATGAATTTATATCACGATAACAGAATTATTTTGAATATTCTAGGAACTAATCATAACATAAAACGTATGGTTATAAATTTTATGTTACTCCTCTGTCATTTTGTATTTGTACTAGTAATAAAAATAATACATTATATCAAAGAAACATTATTATTATATTTATGTGATTTTCTTTAATAGTTATGTTCTTCAGTAAAATAGATAAACTGTAAAAAAAGTTTTTTTCATAATTTCATTAACATCTGATTCATTAAAATTACATTTTTTACGAATCGTAATCATGTAAATTTTATAAGGAATATTAGTCAGTTTTTATATTTTATAATTTAATTTTTAGGCCGACAGAAGACTTATTACTGGCACCAACTCGGATAGTAAAAATTCCGGCGTTATAATGATGAATCCGTCTTCAGTTATAATGGCCAATCGATTCGTGCGGCAAGACGGGCATGATAACGAGAATAGTCTTGATCACAAAGTACTGTTAAAAGGTATTCGAGTAGATTGTGCAGCAGCCTCCACAGAAAATTCAATTTTTGTAGAAATTGAATTTTTAGAACCATTTAATGGTGTTATATACAGTAAAGGTCACCACGATGATCCAAAATGCAGGTCAGCAAAGCTATTTAATAAAAAATTGATTTTTATTAGTTATAAATTATTATTAGCAGTAGAAAAACTTAAGGTTAATGATAATTTTTTCATTTTTATTGCTACATGAGCATTATAAAATAAATTCATTGTCATTTATCCAATGAAATTGTTTTAATAATTTTATTTTATACGCTTACTAAAATTTTTGATAAGATAAAATTATGTTACATTTAGTAAAATTAAAAAATAAATATAAATTAATCATAAAAAAAAAGTAAAATAATATGCACAAAGTTAGTGATTTAAGTCTGAATTCTATCATACGAAATATTTCAAAAGAACATTTTAATTTGAAATATTTTTATTTTTTATAACTACTTCATAATTCATTAGTATAAAGTTTTTACTTGTGTATTTCAGTGGGCAATTGTAATATATGTCTATATAAACTACTTAAAGATTAAGTATATTCTTAACAGTGGCGTTATTAGTGTTTCGTCTCGGGGGAATTTTTCACTTCCCTTTCAAACAAAAAACATTTGTATCTTCACCATATAATTTTTAAAGATATACATTTAGAGTGATATAGAAAGTTATTAACATTTTTATAGTGGTGGGAGAAAAGCGACCGAAAATTATCTAATAGTATAAATAGTTATACCCAGCATCAATCCCAATTTATACTTATAATCGTCATAACATTTGAAGTATTGAAAATGTTTTAAATAAACAAAAATATTTTTAATGTATAATGTTAATACATAATTTTTTAGTTTTATATGCTAATTAAATAAGGGGCGATGTTAAAAATTAATTAATAGCTGATAAATACAAATTTTTTCCTAAGTCGACTTATTAATAAATTATTGCTATGCCAAAATAATAAACTTTGATATTATTTATTTTGATATTTCACTTATTGGAATATAAATATTTCAGCTTACAGTAGGTTGTAAACTTATATAATTGATGAGATTATTTGTAAATTAATATTAAAAAATATTTAAGTATCTTATTATAAATTAATGATGACAATAAATAAAAAATATATATGTTTAAGGTTTGTCGAAAGCAATTCTGGAAATAGTGTATTCCAATTCAAAATACCAGTAGAAGATTGCCAACCTCTAGTTAATGACTCATGTGGATCATCTGGTGAAGATAGTGGAAATTGTGACTTAGGTTCAATAGAAAATACCCTCATTATTCAAACAGATGAAACCATTCAAGTAAGCAACCTTTATATAACCTAATTTATAGTTTAACTTATTATTTTAAAAATATATTAAAACTCAATCAACTTTATTTTATTTAATCAAGTTTTGAATAATTAACTATTTTACATATTGTATTTTTATTTTGGTTTGCGACTTTCAGAAAAATTAATATTTTTTCATTTGGAATTCTCATAAAATTTGAAATTATATGATATATGTGATAGAGTAAATTTTCCCTTTAAATCTTATGGATTTAGATTGGTTGGGTTGGATTTCGTTTGTATAATGTTGTAATGATTATTTTGACATATCGATCAACTAGCTGAAATTATTCAGTCCTTCAGAGTTTATGATTTTCCAAGTCATATTTTGTTATTTTAAATTAAATTCTTAAAGTTCTCTTTTGATAGGACATTAAACATAAATAAATAATATCTATTTACAGGAAGCATGGGATTTAGCTAGAAAAGTGTCATGTCCTTCTGAAACAAAACCTGGAACAGGCAAAAGAGTACGTTTCAAACCCATTGTAGTTGATATGTTAGAAGTAGTTTCAGTTCCATCTGGTGACCAAGGAACTTTACAATGTTGGATGGATATACAAAGAGGACAGTATCCAAATGTGAGAAATTTTGAAATTATAATAAAAAAGTATTCTACTTCTTTTACCTTGTCTTAATCCCAACTACTTGGAGGTTGGCCACCCTTATCCGAAACTTCTACTTAGCACGATTTTTCACATCATCTACGCACACATCAGCTGTCTTAATATCGCATTCATTAACATCCCTTTATTTCTTTTTTTGGTCTTCCTCTTATTTCTTTTCTTCCTTCCATATTAATTTTCATAAATGTTCTTATAGCTTCCGATTCTTTACTCTTTATAACATAATCAAACCTTCCAAGTCTATTTTCTCTCATCTAATCCACGATTTACACTACACATTTACTACCTCTTATATGTTCGCTCCTTATCCTATCTTCTCTAGTCACTACACTCATCTATCTTAGCTTCTCATCTCAGATCTATTTTCTTGACAATCGCAAGAAACTTTAACTCTGAACCATACATGATTGATTTTAATGAAAAATGAAAAATAAAATTATAACCAAATTTGTTTTAGACTTCTCCAGTGGATAAAATAATTAAAATCGGAGAACAACTCTCCTTATTAGTATATGTCAAAAGTACAGATGACCCTTATGATGTCAGAGTGAGAGAATGTTGGGCATACGATAATGATAATTATGAAGCACCAACCACCACAAATATTCAATTGACTGATTCTAATGGATGTCCCAAGTATGATTTTATTCAATCAGTATCGTAAAAATAGTTTAGATGATAATAGTTTATCAGTGTTAAAAGTTTATAGTTGTGGATTTGAGTTAGATAATTGGACTGCTTCATTAGAAAAGCAATAGATTAATCAAGTAATTGAAATCACTCTGTACAATAATATCATATTAATGGCTAATAAACCTCCCATCTGAATAGGCCACTTTAACATTATTATTAAATAAATGGATGATTTTTGTGTGAAATCAATTTTTATGATTATAAAATTACTTATCAGTATTAATGGCGATTTTTTTTTATGACTCTCGCCATTTTTTCTCAGCTGTAATCGGACCAATATTTTTTAACGATACGTTAAAATATCAAGAATTGTATCTAATTTTATAGCCCTTAAAAATTAAAAAATTTCTTTCGTGTTCATTAAATAGAAGAAATCTCTAAAAATGTTTTGATTTTTAAAATTGGTAAATTTTAACTTTTTTTACTTAAAACAACTATAATTTGTTTAATCATGAACAAAACAAAATAATTTTTTTTTATAATTACATAAGGTTTTTGCCTTTCATTTGCTATAAATATATTGAAAATCTGACCCTTTACCTGCCTATAGGAAGAGATTCAAAATTGCAACTTTTGAATATGTTGTGAAAATAATACGAGATTTAAACATAAGTTAAATTTACTTATGTCACATACTATAAGTAAAAAAAAAATAATAAATTGACTTGATGACTTGTCTTTTGTATGTAAACAATCCTCGAATTTAGACAAAAAATATTATTTTGATTTAAAAATCACTGTTTTTTTAATTTTTCAATTTGTTGGTTTATAATATATAAATTAGAATGTAGTCTCTTTATTTTCAATAATTATCTAACCAACCTTAATATATCGCTAATTTAAATTGTAATTTTAATGTATTATTTATAAATTGAAAATATAATAATTTATTTATGCATTGCCTTTTTGTATTATATTAAGGTTGTCCTATATCTAATTTTCAACTCTCATAAATTTTGATGTGGAATTAAAAATATATAAAAAAGAAATCTTCCAACATTAATGATTATTATATGAACGTCATAATATTTTTAATAATTCTATACAATATTTCAGAAGGAAGAAATTGATATCACATTGGAAAAAACAACAAACCGTAGATCAAAATGGCATTACTACAATCGGTTATACTAATGTAACCGCATTTAAATTCCCCGATAGACAACAAGTATTCCTAACCTGTAATGTAGAAGTAAGTAAATCAAATTATAAAATGTGCTTCAAAACCCAACCCAACCTGATTATCCTACAACTTAAAATATAATCAACAATTAGATGAATTTAATTATTAAAATAATTTTGATATTGTATGACTACAGAAAAATATTTTTTTTGATTTTTATAAAAAACGAATTATTGAAAAAAAAAATTTAGTTAAATTAATTAAGCAAAAGTATAACAATAAAAAACCAAAAAAATAACATCTATCATAAAACTACATTTTTAGTTGTGTTTGGGAAGTTGTCCAGATGAAAAATGTCAAGCATCATTATCCTCAACCTCAAACTATCCCGAATGTTATCCAAGTTCTTCAGATCCAAGATGTGCACAAACACCAACATCATCTGTTCCCGAATGTTACCCCGGCTCAGATGACTCTAGGTGCTCGAGACCAACATCTCCAACCACAACACCAGGTCCAGTATGCTATCCTGGCTCTCCAGATCCAAGGTGCCCAAACCCATCTTCACCACTAACAACACCAAGTCCAGTGTGTTACCCAGGATCAAATGATCCAAAGTGTCCAAAACCAAATTTACCACCAACAATCATAAGCCCAACTCCATATCCACAACAAACAACACCTTCTGTACCATTTTGTTATCAAGGATCTAATGATCCTAGATGCCCCAAACCATCTCTACCACCAACAACACCAGGTCCAGTTTGCTATCCAGGCTCACCAGATCCAAGATGTCCAAAACCAACTTCACCACCAACAACACCAGATCCAGTGTGCTATCCTGGCTCTCCAGACCCCAGGTGTCCTAAACCTTCCCCTCTACCAACATCGCCTACATATTTACCACCAACGTCCTCTGGCCCTGTGTGTTACCCGGGATCAAATGATCCTAGATGTCCAAAACCAACTCAACCACCAACAACACCAGGTCCAGTTTGCTATCCAGGCTCACCAGACCCAAGATGTCCAAAACCAACTCCACCACCAACAACACCAGGTCCAGTGTGCTATCCTGGCTCATCAGATCCAAGGTGCCCAAAACCAACTTCACCACCAACAACACCAGGTCCAGTGTGTTATCCAGGCTCACCAGATCCCAGGTGCCCAAAACCAACTCAACCACCAACAACTTCAGGTCCAGTGTGCTATCCTGGCTCATCAGATCCTAGATGTCCAAAACCAACTCCACCACCAACAACACCTAGTCCAGTGTGTTATCCAGGCTCACCAGATCCTAGATGTCCAAAACCAACTCCACCACCAACAACACCAGGTCCAGTGTGTTATCCAGGCTCATCAGATCCCAGGTGCCCAAAACCAACTTCACCACCAACAACATCAGGTCCAGTGTGTTATCCAGGCTCACCAGATCCTAGATGTCCAAAACCAACTCCACCACCAACAACACCAGGTCCAGTGTGTTATCCAGGCTCATCAGATCCCAGGTGCCCAAAACCAACTTCACCACCAACAACACCAGGTCCAGTTTGCTATCCAGGCTCACCAGACCCAAGATGTCCAAAACCAACTTCACCACCAACAACACCAGGTCCGGTTTGCTATCCAGGCTCACCAGATCCAAGGTGCCCAAAACCTTCCCCTCTACCAACCTCGCCTACATATTTACCACCAACAACATCAGGTCCAGTGTGTTATCCAGGCTCACCAGATCCTAGATGTCCAAAACCAACTCCACAACCAACAACACCAGGTCCAGTGTGTTATCCAGGCTCACCAGATCCCAGGTGCCCAAAACCAACTCAACCACCAACAACACCAGGTCCAGTGTGCTATCCTGGCTCACCAGATCCAAGGTGCCCAAAACCAACTTCACCACCAACAACACCAGGTCCGGTTTGCTATCCAGGCTCACCAGATCCCAGGTGCCCAAAAACTTCCCCTCTACCAACCTCGCCTACATATTTACCTCCAACGTCCTCTGACCCTGTGTGTTACCCGGGATCAAATGATCCTAGATGTCCAAAACCAACTTCACCACCAACAACACCAGGTCTAGTGTGTTATCCAGGCTCACCAGATCCCAGGTGCCTAAAACCAACTTCACCACCATCAACACCAGGTCCAGTGTGCTATCCTGGCTCACCAGATCCTAGATGTCCTAAACCAACTCCACTACCAACAACACCTGGTCCAGTGTGTTATCCAGGCTCATCAGATCCATGGTGCCCAAAACCAACTTCACCACCAACAACATCAGGTCCAGTTTGCTATCCAGGCTCACCAGATCCAAAATGTCCAAAACCATCCCAACCACCAACAATACCCCCTCCAGTGTGTTATCCAGGATCAAATGATCCTAGATGTCCAAAACCAACTCAACCACCAACAACACCAGGTCCAGTTTGCTATCCAGGCTCACCAGATCCAAGATGTCCAAAACCAACTTCACCACCATCAACACCAGGTCCAGTGTGCTATCCTGGCTCACCAGATCCAAGGTGCCCAAAACCTTCCCCTCTACCAACCTCGCCTACATATTTACCTCCAACGTCCTCTGGCCCTGTGTGTTACCCGGGATCAAATGATCCTAGATGTCCAAAACCAAGTCAACCACCAACAACACTGGCTCCAGTTTGCTATCCAGGCTCACCAGATCCAAGGTGTCCAAAACCAACTTTACCACCAACTACGCCGGCTCCAGTTTGTTATCCAGGATCTCCTGATCCAAAATGTCCACAAATTTCTCCATTACCAACATCCCCTACTTATTTACCACCAACTACATCTGAAGTTGTCTGTTATTCTGGTTCTACAGATCCAAGATGTCAAAATCCTTCTTCTCCAATATGTTTTTCAGGTTCTAGTGATCCTAGGTGTTCAAGACCGATTGTTCCAACTAATCAAATACCACTAAATCATTCTACAAACGTTTGTATTTGTAATGGTACAAATCCTTACCATATTTCTCCTCCTTTATGTTTCACTGGTTCTGAAGATCCTCGATGTCCAAAACCCATTCCTACTCAAACTGATTCATCTCCTGTGTGTTATCCCGGTTCTCCTGATCCTAGATGTCCTCAGTATCCTTCTTCCACTCAACAACCACCGACATATTTACCACCAATACAACCAATTGATTCATATGAACAGCAAGTTCAACAAAATCAAGAGCAGCCACAGTTTGGTCAGTTATTACATGAAATTACAACACATTATCCATCTTATTCATCTGGTGACGATAACAATGCTGGTCAAAATCAGTTGGATATTTTTAATGATGGTAATTTTTTTTAATTTTAAAAATTGAAAATACTTTTTTACTTATAAATATTAAATATATAATATACATTTTTTTGTGGTCTCTAGCTTTAATTGGATACAATGCGCAAAGAAGAGATTTAGGGCCAGGTTTTGAAAATCTTAAGACTGAATTAAAATATGAATTAGGTTATGATAACAGTGCAGCTCTTGATAAATTAGAAGATGATTTATTATTTGAACTACAACGTCAATCAATCTATAAATAAATCGTTTATTAATGAGTAACTATGAATATTTTATTTACTTTGCTTATGCCATTTTTGTTTAAAAATATGGTTAAAATTTTAGTCTATTTGAATTGCTCAAACACATTAACCAAAGTGTTTTATGTTACCATCACTTGTTACCATTAGACATTTATGTTATAAACTACTATATAAAATTAAAATATTATTTTTGTATTTTTATTATATAATTCTTTTTATTTATTAAATTTGAAAAATAATGAGATGTTGTCTTTGTTTGATACTGTTAAATGTTTTTAGAATACTTAAATGTACAGAGTTATTTTTATCTGTTTTTTCGTAACTAATTGCTGTTATAAAAAAATATGATGATATAAATATTAACATGAATACAACATAATTTTTTTATAACTTGTGTGAGACTAACAAAAGGAAAAGAAAACACTTTTATTTCTACTTATCAGAAACATAATTTAATTTATATAATATTTTTGTTGATATAATTATGTATAAAATTTTGAATATTACTCCACGTATATTCATTATTTTTTTTTAACAATAGATTATAAGATTAGTTACATTTCAAAGTTAGTTAGTTAAATTTTTAGCTCCTACTGTAGTATCACTGCAGTGGCTTATCGCATATCGGGGAGTTGATATTTTTAAGGCATAGCACAGTAAGGTCACGGCACTGTGGGGATGTGGCATAGTTGGGTCAAGTATAATGATATCTGACAGTGATTAAAATCATTATTATAAAAAACGCTTCGATGCAAATCTGTAATTAGTGTTTAATTTTAAAAAATTGGTGGATTATTCCAAAAGCTACATGATCTCCTATTTCCTCTTTTATATCCTGATTACAAGTTTTATGATTTATAAGTGTAATATATGAATAAATAAATATATTTATAATATATAAATATATAAAGAGAAATGTTTTTACTTAAATAGTATTTATCTCAAAAAAATTATATTGATCCATACATTTTTCAAAAAGTTATAGCATTTTAAAATTAAAAATGTAAAATCGAGAATTTTTACACAAAAATAGCATTTAGTAACTATTTTCACCGTGAAGACAAAATAAATTCCAACATTTTTTTTTCCATAATAAAGTATATTAAAATATCTTTAATTTAAGATATATATAAAAGTTTCATAGATTTCATAACACTTTTAATAGTTAAGTTAAAAAAGTTAATTTTTTGCGAAAGAGCTGTCATTTTATGTCCCCCTTGTGGGCAGATAAAGGTTCAGATTTATAAAAAATAATATACCAAATGATAGATAAAGACAAAATGCATCTATAAAAGAATATTATATTGATCCATACATTTTTCAAAAAAATTATAGTATTATAAAGTTAAAAATATAAAAAAGAATTTTTTTATAAAAATCGTAATTCTTTTATTAACTTTAATGTCTGTTTTTACCGTAAAGACAAAATAAAGTCCGAAAGTTTTTTTCCATAAAAAAGTATATTACTTTAGATTTAATTTAAGGTATGTATAAAAGTGTCAGACTTTCCGGAACACTTTCAAAAGTTTAGTTGAAAAAGTTAATTTTTTGTGAAAAAGTTGTTATTTTAAACTCCATTTTTGGGCAGGGAAAAATTCACATTTATAAAAAAATATACCAAATTATAAGTAAAGACATAGTACATCTATAAAAAAAAATATATTTATTGATTTAGTCATTTTTAAAAAAGTTATAGCAGTTTTAAGTAAAAAAATTGAAAAAATGTGAAAATTACCCATTTTAAATTTGTAATTTTTTTGGAGATTTCCTCCATTTACGGGAAACAAAGGAATTTTTTTCAATTTTTGAGTATAATGTCTTCGACTAGATACGATTTGTGATCTTTTGAAGTTTTAATATATCTTACTCGACACGAGTTTTTATTTATTATTATTGACACTTGAAATAATATTGATTAGTAAATTGATAATTGCTATATAGAAAATTATGTGTAATTCAGTGTCGTGTAACAAGGTTATATTATTGAACTTAAATCTACTATGCTCACTATCTGTATTTATTTTTATCAAAATTTCGATGTGTATTTCACGAGAGATTTGTAGATATTTTTGAATGTTTACTCTTCGATTATGGTTTTAAAGTGTCCTATCATGTTTAATTATTTTTATTTCATGGCATTTATGGAGATCATGATTCTTTAATTTAAGTGAGATCTCATTTGTTATTTTTTTTGTTCAATAATAGTAATAATGATCAGATATTTGAGAGAAAATGTAGGAATTGAGAGTTATATAAATGTTGGTGTTAAAATAAACAGAAATATTAAACTATAACTATATAAAATTGTATACAACCTGAATAAATTTTAATATCTATTGAATATAGTTGTCATATGCTAGCTTAAATTAATTGCATAGCTTACCAAATACCAGGTATACTGTACCGGCGTCAGTGGCGGCGGTCACGGCGATGACGTTGCTATGGCTACTATGATCCGAACGATTACGCCATGATATCGGTAGTAGTCCGCGCGGGCTTTTCTGTAATAGTCTTTCAGTACTGTACGGGTATACGTTTTGTTAGAGACGTTTATCACTCTTTTACGAAATTTATCTGTTTCCATTTAATCATCGTCATTAATATAATGGAGTAGTGTAATTTAATTCTTAAATAGTAGTTGGGAAAATGTATAAGTGAATGAATTGTTAAGTTTTTAAAGTTTATCCATTTAAAAAATTTATTCAAAGTAATCAGTAAGTACTTATACATACTATGAATATAAGCCCACTTTATTTTATAGAATAAAATAATTAAACGCCAAATGATTAACTACATTAAAAAGCCTGATAAAGAAATGTTATAAGAATTAGGCGCCTAAAACAATGACACAATATTTGATTTATGTGTTAACGTTTTTTTTAAATCTAATGTACATTTTAATTTGTTTATTGCCCTGACTTATTTTATGTCATTGCTGTCGTTATAAAATGTGTCAACTCTATATAAGAAGAAACCTAATTGGATTTATTTTAAGGTCGCTTTAGGTTGACTAGATGTTTAGCATAGACAATTGACAAACTGATTTTTTTTAATTACAATTATAGTAATTATGTAAATTATTCATTATTATATAAATACCTTAACTTTAAAATTTTTATTGGTATTATTGTTTTTTTGCAAAATAATTCAATTTTGCGAATTAACTAAAAACCCTTATTCTGCACAATTCAAAACATATAAGGTAATGTTAGTTTCCGTAGTTTTTTTGTGTATTTTCTAATTAATTTTGAAATTGATTGTGTATAAGCAAGAATAGTACGTAGTGCGTTTAATTTTACTTTTTTAAAAACTTGTTGGAACTTATGTTGACTATGTATTTTTAAAGAATACGAATTAAAGAGGTTATAAGAGATTTTTTGTAACTTGTAGCTATGTGTGAAAGTTACATTATACTTACTAAACTTGTACGAAAAAATAACATATCGCTGTGTGTTAAGTTTTAAATGTGAATAAATATCTTATTAAAATTATGTTAAGAGTCATTTTACATAATTAGTACGTAATTATTGTTAAAAAAAATTAAATTATATGAAATAAGTAATACAACGTTGCTATTTATAAGTTTTATCAATAAATTAGTCGTTTATTTGCATTTGCATCAATGGCAGATTTTTGACAGTTTTTTGGAGGGGTCCTCAAAGAATATAATTGTTGAAATACGTATCCTAAATAATATTATCCTAAATATTAATTAATGCATAAATACCGGTGTCTGGGGTTCAGACCCTCTGAACATCCCTGATTTTCAATGTGATATACTCACTGTTTACCAAAAATGTATTATTATTTTAATATTAATGAGTTTATTTGTTATTACTCATTACTTGTATGAAAATATAATTAAAATTATACCAATAATTTTTATATAATGTAATATTATGAGATAATAGGATTTTTTGATATATATATATATTTATTGCAATACGTTAGTGACATATTTTCGATTTATTAATAAATTTTTTCACAAAAAAGTGCTGTTGCAAATTAAATATGTCTTTATCAAATTATTTTTAAATTATTCGTAATAGTTATAATGGAAAACATATGGTGATAGTAATTCATTGATTTATACAAGTGAAGTAACTAAAGGAAATTGTCAAATTACATTTAAGCTATAAGCTTAAGTAACCTTGTTACCAACAGGTGTAGTTCATAAGAGCGATTCTGCCGTTATAGTAATCGCACAGAAATTGGTTGGGTTATACTGTATTGTTACATGGACTTTAAAAGATGTGTTCATAATGTTATGCAGAATGTAATTTTAAAACCAAATATAATCTATAAAGGAATAAAATCTTACATTAATGTTTGATAATTTAGTAAAATCTAAGCAGAAAATTTAACGGCATTGATTATTACATTCCTTCAATAAAAACTTTTTGGTCTTGATTAGTATAAAAATAACAACTATTTTTAACTGAGAATATGATAGAAAAAAATTACAAATAATTTTCTTCTAATAATTTTTTTTTATTCTATCAAGCGTTTGTATTTTAAAATTTGGATTTAATGTAAAAATTTATCAATCATTTGGTTTTTTTTAACAGTAAAAGTATGAATAATCTATTTTAATAGATCATCCATAATATTTTGTGATAGTTATCAATGTAAAATTTTCACACCACGGTATTGTCTAAAATTGAAAAACATAATCGATTTTTTTGAATCTGTTGTAGATGTGCTATATTACTTTATTAGTCTTTAATAAAGTAATATAGCACATAAACAAAAAAAAATCTTATTTATCTATTTCTAGAGCAGTTGAGTCAACAAATACAGTTATTTTTTAACTTAAAAAAATTTTAATACTTATCTTTAAAAAAAATTTTGCACGGTTAATAAATGAAAACTGTTCCAAGTTAATTATATTATGTCAAATCACACAATTCGGGGTTTAATTTAATTATATTTATAACTCCTTTTTTTATTTAGTAATTTAATTAAAGTAAACACAATTTTTCAGTAATTTTTTTTAAATCTTTTAATATAAAAAAAAAAGAATCAATGGGAAATTTCCGATACTGTACAAAATTTTAGTTTATGACGTATAGAATCGATTAAAAAAATTAGCTGCATAGATTGGAATACTTAGGAGTAATGAAGGATTTAGGCTAAAAAAATGGCTAACAAGTTGTCTAAATTTTGAAATGAAACATTATAAAATATATTAAACTAAATGTTTTTGAGTTCAGATTTTATATTTCTTTGAAAATAATTATTTTACGAGTCAAGGAAAAGTTTATTTTCGATTCTATTTAATTTTTTTTAAAGTACATTGCACATGGTAAATACAATAGATACTATTATTATTTTAACAATGAAATATTAATAATTACATTGAAAAATGTATTGAAATAAATTATTGGTAAATTGATGCAAAGAATAGAGCTTGTAAATATTATTGTCGGAAGAAGCATAAAAAACCAAAAATAAGTAAATGAAGACATTCAGGTTGCGCCTTCAATATTTCAAATGAGAGTTTCATTCAAAATTAAATGACAAATCCGGACTTTATGCTCATAAAAATGTATGAATTGACTAGCAACACAAAAATTCTAATAAAAATAAAATAAACTTTAACTTTATAAACATGGGGTATTCTAATGAAAATGTCAATTTTGAAATCGGCACCCTCAAAAACATACGGTTTAATATTTTTGGGGTTATTTTGGCTATAATGAGGACATAATTAATTTCGATCACGTTTTTTTGTTTTTGGACCACTGTGCAAAGTGACATACAACATACGATAGTTAACTTGTGTTGAATACGAAAATATATGCAACTATTAATAAGTAACATAAGCATTAAAAATAATATTTCTGTATTTTGGGTAATACCTTAGTCAATAAAAAGTTGTTTATGAGACAAAATGGAAAATGTATACTTTTGTTATATTTAACAACAAAATATTAATTGATAAGAACAAAATTGTTTATAATATTTTTTCAACTGTATTATGAAGTTAAAAATAAGGATTCTCATTTAAGAAAATTAAATTTAAGTTTTTTTTAATATGGAAAGGATAAACAAAAATATTGAAATACTTATCATTGTAGAGTTTTTTTAAATAAAATAATTCTTCTCATTACAAAAATTAAAATTGTTCAATAGTTTCTAAGAAAATGAGTTTTACTCAAGATTGATCACCCGTAAACACTTTTTTCTTTATAGAATATACATAACATATTTTATTACCTGCTAAAAATCTATACTTATACGATTTATTAAAATACTCTGTATCTTAAAAACACAAATTATAATAATATTTTGCATCATTCTGAATATGTGTTCATATTTTATTATAGAGTAGTTCATTTTCATATGATTTAAAATACATTTTTTTTTTTAAATGTTCGGTTCCATTAGGTAAACTATAAATACATACAAAACAACAAATAAAAAATATATACATTTTGTAAAACTTTAGGTCGACTGCTGGCGTTCATTAAATCTTACTTAAATGTAAATGTAAATGTAAGCTCCCAACAGAAGCACATAACAAACAGTTTGCTTGGCAAAGATTATTTAAGAAAGAGGTATGCATTTTAAAATAGTATTACAAGGGTTTTATATATAGTAAATATTGGTCGCGTTAAGAATTAATTCTATTATTAGTAATGAAAACGGCAATTTTTTAAAATACTCTATTTAGATTGGTCATCAAAACTATCCAAAGTTAAACATTTTTTTTGAAAGAATCAAACACAGTATACTAGGATACATAAATCAATTTATTAAAAAATGTTCGTTGAATATAATATAAATTATTTTCAATTTCTAGTTTTATTAGGTTTTACGTATAATCTATCAAATAATTAATCAAAGATACATTAATTGGTCAAATAAATTTACTTGAAAAAAAAATGCACGTAAAAGGTGTGCTTTGGAAATCACTCTACTTTTTTTTAGTGTTGCATTAAAAAAACATACATTATAAGTTTAATTTTCCTGTTTTTGTGACAAACAATGTGCCATATATACACATACAGTGTGTTTATATTTTATTCTTTTCTTGTAACTTTTCGAGTCATCAAAAAGGAGTAGATGAAAATATCATTAAATACATAGAATTTAGCCAAGTGTAAGAAAAAAGACGATTATACTTCAAACTAGATTAACTTTGAAATAATAACTACGACATACTGTTGAAGGGTTAGTTGCATTTTCTCTTAGAAAACTTATAACGAGACGTAGTTCAATATACCAACTCAAAAATGAGTTAACACTTTGTGTTGAACATTTTCATTTGGAATGGCTTAATTTGTATTGTAAGTTTTGAATTAAGTGAACATAATAATAACGTTTTCCTGTAAAATATTTGCCATTGTATTTTATTAAAACCCTTATAAGTATGCCGTTAAAATAAAATGGACGTTTTTATACGCATATTACGTGCGTACGTTGACTTGAAACAAAGAAAATCAGCGTGGGTGGAAAGTTTTTATTCATATTGTATTATACATGTAAATGATTAAAAGTTACTCGAATATAAAAAGTACATGCATTCTAATATTTTTTTTTTCATTTCTTTAAAATTAGTTATGCTAATGTTTTTAAAAAATAATTTTATGATATACACGCATCTTTCAAAATTTTTATGAAAAGGAACATTGAATAAAATATAATTAATGTCAATAAACTATATTAAAATTATTCTAGACTTAAGGGTAAACTTGGTAAGACGAACCCC